GATTTGTCAATTTTATGTACAAATTGGATAAAAAGTTTTAGATTTTAAAGATCATAATACTTTGGAGGTAGAAATCAGTGTCTGGGAGCCAATTGGGCCGATGCGGAACAACTTTGGGCCCAAAATCACGAGAAACCGCAATTGGAAGCAAATTGGGCGCTGGATTTGGGTCCTGGGCGTCCAAAGTTGGACGCCCGAAGAGGCTGGACGCCCAAGCTATCTGGTGACACGGCCTTGCCACGCGGCACAACGCGACTGGACGGAACACGTATTTTGGGTACGGGCGTCCAAAGTTGGACGCCCGTACTTCCTGCCCTATAAATACAGCGTTCCTCTCATTCATTCCACACCATCTCTCAACCCATTTCGGGTTTCTCCACTATTTTAGTCAATATTTCATTATATATTAGTTTAGTTATTATTTCTAAGTATTTTTGGAAGAATTCTACTCCCGATCAGTTCTGTTCCACTTTTACGGAGGTTGTAAGTTTTCTTTATTTAATAAAATGCTATTTTAATTTATGTTTGCATAGTATGAGTTAGGGTCCGGATCTCTGGGTCCGGACTAGTTTGGTTGTTTAATTTTTTGATGTTAAATTAATGTTGGAATGGTTAATCTATTGTTCTGCCTTATTTAGTTAATTATTCTCGAAAGATTTAATTAGCTATTTATTGAGAAGATATTATATGCTAAAAGGCTACGATATTCAAGTGCAACAGATTAAGTACAAATCTAGAAATGGATGAGTAGTAATAGAAATATTATTATTTCAATTGTTAATTTAATATGATAAAATAGATCCAAATGATGTCCTGACCCTAGGTCCAGATCTATACTTATACTATGTAAACTTAATTTATTATTTTTACTCTGCTCCTTTTATAATAGTTCCGAGAAGACTTTCATAAACCAATCCTAATCTTCGCCTAGTTAGAGTAATTAAACTAATTCCCTTCGTCCACTCCTCGAGAGACACGACACTCGGAGAGAAAACTAACCCTTTACTGGGAAGGTTTACTACCCGAAAAACTACAATTGTCAAATGGCGCCGTTGCCGGGGAGTGGCACGGCATTCGTTTAATTTCTTCTAATTAGCTTGGGTGAAGATTGGTTAGAACGATCTTCTCACTTCCTTTCACCAACCACCCGTAATAATTGTTATGGACAACTCCAGTGGTTATTACGGTCCGCCTTCTTTCTACCAACCACCCAACCGCCCTCCGTTTCAACCCCACCAAACCTATCACCCACATCAGTACCCAAATGATAATACTTACCAAGTCAACAATAGATCTGACTACTATCTCTACCATGAGGAACCACCATATGATACCCCGTCTAGAAACTTTGGTTATTCTCCGTACCAAGACTCTGACGGGGAAGATTATTATGAACCGCATGGTGATCACGATGACTATGACCAATCTGGGCCTATGTGCGAAGATCAACCTGATCCGCTTGTCGAAGAAATCCTAAGATTAGAACAGAAAATCTTCTATTTCGACGAACTTTTATTCGCTGAAGGCTCGTGGTATGAACCACCTTACTCCCATGACTACACCTTATTTGCTGAAGAACAAATTGAAGCAAACAAGGTGGCAATTCGAGAAAGAGCAAAACTTCTTGAATCAGTCCGGAAGGAAAAGGAGTTCGAAAGGAGATTATGCGAAGGATCAGAATTGATGCAGAAAATGCTGGATGACTTCCAAAGAGAGAGACTAGAAGCTGAGGCTAAAGCGGATAAATTAGTCAATGATCTCTGCAAGGCTGTTGAACTTAAACGCTCCCTCCAATCTCAAGATCAAATGAGGGAGATTAATGTTCAAAAAGAGGCTCTAGAACCTAAGACCAACCCTAAACCCATCAACCAAGAGGTTCCAGTTCTAGAAGATTCACCAAGTTCTACACCATCACAGAACCCCGAGAGCATAACAACTCTTGCTAGGGCTACTGTGGTGATATTACCTGAATACCCTCCTAGCCAAGTCCTAACCAGCATAGTCGTATATGAGGTGGAACCAACTGAGGGATCTGACTCAGAACCACCTACGCTCATTCAAGAAAAGGAGGAGGAAGTTTTGCCTATAGCAATAAACAACCATCTCCTTAATTGTGTTAAAGACACACCTCCAAAGGAACCTGTTTTGGAGGAGATAGAGCCCATTACCTGCCCCCAAGATTCCAATATCCAAGAGTCTGAGGAGGAATCTGTTGACGAGGAAATATTGTGCATGGAAAACCCGACTTCGTCTATAGAGACCTGTGCAAATAATGCTTCACCAGTATATTCAGACCAAACTTTATTTGACTCCTTACATGACGGGTGTAACCCGGTTTGCCCGGAGGATAGTAGGAGCCAAAAGAGTTGGGATGAACTTCTGGTAAGTGACGCCGAAGACTCATCCATGGGGGAAAACACGATCGTAATCATCAAACCACAAATGGATAGTCAGCCTATTGAAGATAAGGAAGGAATCAATTTCACAATCAAAGCTAATGATGTGGATCAACTGAGGAGACTTCCGCCACCACCCACCTATTTAGAGTCTCCTCCTTTTATCCTGTTGCCGCCAAACCGCAGGGACGAGTCAAGGATCCTGGACCTTGACCGAGCAAAGATTCAAACAAGGTGGCATCAGAAGAGAGTCAGAAGGGCCAAACTTTATGACTCTCGGATCGGAAAGTCGCGGAAAAAGTGGGTGAGCGTCGAGCTACGGACGTTAAAGAAGCGCTTAACGGGAGGCAACCCGTCATTCAAATAACTAAAATATTTAACTAAATTCAATAATTTTATTTGTTGTTCTTGAGTTTTTACTTGCCGCACCAGTTTTGGGGGCAAGATTTTATGTGTTTGTTTATGTGTATGCAGATGCCTCATCGTCCTTCTTACCCTACTCTTCTTACCCTACTATGGACCGTAATGAGGTCCAACTGATTGATGCTGCTTCTAGGACGAGGTTCGATGAGTGGGGACACTCACGGGTGTTACACGAGTCGGTGTGTCTGGCTCAGGATACACTGACGGACTATGGCTATGCAGAGGAGATGGAGGAGCTGCTTGAGGGGACCAGATGGCAGCGCCTGTTTAAGATGAGGGCAGAGTCTAGCCTACCACTGACCATCGAGTTCTTATGCTCGATATCTGCTGTCCCGGAGATTGAGTCACGACAGATGACTCATAGTTTGATCACTACTGATACCACGTTTGCCTTCACTCTTGCGGGCCAGTCGTTTCAGTTGACAGTGAGAGAGATGGCTATTCGTCTCAGGATCTACACCCAGGAGGAGACCGAGCAGCCTGAGTTCTACGACGATCCCTTTTGTCTTCCTGCAGATTTTGATGCTATAGCTTTCTGGAGGGAGCACTCATCTGACGACAAGGAGTTCGTGAACAAGAAGAGTAAGGCACGCTACTGGATTCGGCCTAGCTGGAGGATCCTATCTTTTGTTCTTTCGACATTCTTTTTTGGGAGGCCGTCGAACACTGATAGGGTCTATGAGGAAGATATGTTTGTCTTCTGGAGCTTGCACGACCGCCAGCCGGCGAACGTGGCTGTGTACCTGGCCAGATTCTTATACTCCCAGTCCTATGGGTGTAGAACGCACTTGGTTTGTGGGTTTGTGATTACTTTGCTCTTTCGCTCCCTCGTGGGGGACGCACCCATCCCACGGCCTGTGCAGTTGATGAGGGATTTAGATGCCGGCATGCTCCGGAATGCTCACATCCACCGGAGACTCTTTCCTAGCTCTTCCGAGAGCACTACGGCCTCTACTGGCCGCACTTCACATGAGATTGGAGAGTCATCCGGTCAGTCAGAGAGATCGTCTCAGCGCCTTCCTCGTCGACGACCTACCAGAGCACAGTTGGCTCG